ACTTACCTTTGTTCTCTCTTCCACCCCGTGTCTTTGGGAGTACGTGCTTTGTTCATGACCTTACTCCAGGAAAAGATAAGTTAGCTCCTCGTGCTCTTAAGTGCATTTTTTTGGGTTACTCGAGAACGCAAAAGGGATATCGCTGTTGCTCTCCTGACCATCAGCGATTTCTTATGTCTGCTGATATTACCTTCTTTGAAACCCAATCATACTTCACAGGTCCAGTTAATCACTTAGATATTTCTGAGGTGCTACCTGTTCCTTCTTTTGGAGATTCAGTCCCTATCTCCCATTCATCTTCCTCCATAGCTCCACCGCCTACAGTTCTAGTTACAGCTCCACCACCTATAGCTCCAGTGTCACCACCTAGTCCAGTGCCACCACCTAGTCCAGTTCCACCAACTATAGCTCCAGTGCCACCACCTAGTCTAGTTCCGCCAACTATAGCTCCAGTGCCACCACCTAGTCCAGTTCAACCTTCTACAGCTCTACCACTCCTGACTTATCATTGTCGTCCGCTCTCAGCATCGGGCCCAGCTGATTCACGTCCTGCACCTGACCCTGCTAATACTGCGGACTTGTCTCCTCTTAATAAACCGATTGCACTACGAAAAGGCATACGGTCCACACTTAATCCTAATCCTCATTATATCGGTTTAAGTTACCATCGTCTCTTATCATCCCATTGTGCATTTGTGTCATCTTTGTCCTCTATTTCTATCCCTAAGTCTACAGGTGAAGCACTGTCTCATCCTGGATGGCGACAGGCTATGATTGACGAGATGTCTGCTTTACATACGAGTGGTACTTGGGACCTTGTTCCTCTTCCTTCGGGTAAATCGACTGTTGGTTGTCGTTGGGTGTATGCAGTCAAAGTTGGTCCAGATGGCCAGGTAGGGGTGTGCATTCGAATCGGTTTATCGATAAATCGAATCGATTATTTGTTATCGATTTATTGATATCGGTTTATCGATTTATCGATTTCGATTTCGATTTCAAAATTTTCCTTATCGATTTATTGATTTCGATTTCGATTTATCCTCTTCGGTTTATCGGTTTATCGATAAATCGATAAGAAATACTAAAATGACAAATATACCCTTATCTATAATATTACCCTTCCCTTCACTTAATTCCCTAAGCGTGTAACCCTATTTTCCTCCCTTCTTCAGCGCCGCATCTCTACCAAAACTTGGTGACTCTTCAGAAGTTCAGTTCAGTCTAGCTTTGTTCTATCGCGTCAGTTCACGGCTTCACGCTACTCCTAACTTTCCTCCCTTCGTGCGTAAACCTAGCTCTATTCTATCGCCACTCGCCACTGTCGCCGTTGTTCTATCGCCACTGTCGCCATTGACTCAGTCTTCACTTTCTGGCAGGTACCATGTAGAAATTAGTTGTTGTTTTTGGTTAAGAATGATTTATTCTAGACTCTAGTCTTTTGCTGTACCATTGCTGCCACAGTTATCGTGTGTGCTTCTGTTTAGCTTTTGTGCTTTTGTGCACAAAATCTAGTATGCTTTTGTGCTTTTGTTTAGCTTGCTGTATAGGTTTGTAGCATTATACAGGATTGGGGTCATATGTCTTGTGTCGTTGGTTTTGGCTTGTGCTTTTACAGCAACTTGATGTTATCTAATGTATAATCTGGGCTAAGTATTTCTCAACTATATAGCTCGATTTTACTGCTATTTGCTTAGTAATCTGTTATTGTTTGGCTCCTGAAATTTGTTCATTCCTCTTTCTTCTTCAATATTTTTTTTGTCAACCTGAACTTTTGTTAATGTTTGGCTCCTGAACGTATGGTTAAGCAGTGACGATATTCATGTTTGGCTCCTGAACATTTGTTAATATAGTGTTTGTCTCTGGATTAATGCTATATATATATATGATATCGGTCTCATGTTAACTTTGAAGTTAAAAGTTTGAAGGACAATGACATTTACTAATCGTCAAAAACGCCTCAAAGGGACAATTGTCTTGGGAACCAACCTTTGGCTTATTGGTAATCGATAAACCGAATCAATAAGGCTCAAAAATCGATAAATCAAAATAAAAAAAATCGAAACCTTATTGAAACGATAACGATAAGCATATGTACAAATCGATAATCGGTAAGTAATTATCGATAAGGGTCAGAATCGAACCGATAAATCGAATGCACACCCCTATGGCCAGGTTGATCGACTTAAGGCTCGTCTTGTTGCCAAAGGATATACTCAGATATTTGGAC